TCTATTTCTATTTGCAGGTCTTTATATTTTGTGATTTTCCCCAGTTCTTTCTCTTGTATTCCACTGTGTCCAGATATTGAAATGTCCACTATCCAGACTTTTTTGTCCTTCTTATCAGTGATTGTTAAGTCTGGGGTGTTTTGTGGCAGATGGTTGTCTGTGTTAGCATCTTCATTTTCTATTACTTTGTGTATTTTGTGATCCCACCGGTTCTTGCTTGCAGGCAATGGTATTTCTTGCAGATATTCCAATGCACCATTGTTGCTACTTTATGCCGTTGTTTGCAGACAGTCTGTGGTATCTTCATGCAGCAGCTAACTAGGTGGTCCACTGTTTCTTCAGCTTCTTTGCAGAGGCAGCATTTGCTGTCTGTTGCTGTCTTCTCAATTCTGGCTTTGTATGTGTTTGTTCTTAAGGCTTGGTCTTGTGCAACCAGAATTAGCCCCTCTGTCTCTTTCTTCAACTTTCCTGCTCTTAGCCATTGCCAGGGCTTGTTATCTTCTTTGCCTGCTAGTTTTTTTTATGTACTGGCCATGTAATACTTTGGCTTGCCACGTCTGTTTTCTATTCTTCATTTGGCCTTTCTTATAGGCCAGTTTGGTCTCTCTGGTATTCAGTAAATCTTCATGGTGTACTAGGTTCGGTGCATCTTCTTCACTGTCCTTCAGATATTCTTCCAATGACCTATTTTCTTCTTCAACTGTCTGATGTACTTGCAACAGTCCATGCCCACCAATGCGCCTTGGTAAGTAGAGTATGTCAACATCAGTGCACGGATGAGGGGTATGATTCATTGTCATTATTTTTCTGACCTTCCTATCCAGGGCTCTACTTCTGCTTGAGTCCAGTCCACTATTCCAGCTGTGTATCTAATGACTGGAATTGCCTAGATGTTAATTGCCTTGATGGTACTTCTTCCACTGAGTTTGGACCTTAAGATCTTCTTCACTCTCATAATGTATTCATTTCTAACCTTCTTGATTTCAATGTGCTTGATGTTGTCAGCTTGAAGGATACCCAGATATTTGTGGTGATCTTTTTCATCCAGACACTTGATGTTATTTCCACAGGTCAACTTGATTCCTTCAGTTTTCACTGTTTTTCCCCTGTTGATGGTAAGAGTGGCACATCTGTCCAGTCCAAACTCCACTGCAATTTCTTGGCTGTGTATTCGGGCAGTGTTGAGCAGTGATTCTATTTCAGCTGGTGTTTTTCCATATAGTTTCAGATCGTCACATAAAGGAGATGGGACAGTTTTGATGTTTGATAGCCATGGCTTTGTTCAGTATCATTGACAGAGGAGTCAATGCAGTGACAAACAGTAGTAGTGATAGTGAGTCTCCTTGAAAGATTCCTCTCTTGATATTAACCTCTCCCAGTTGCCAGCTGATTTGGTGCAGAGGACAGAGAGAGGCAGGAAAGAGGTCGGGGATATGTGCATGACAATCACCTAACCTGGGTTGACTGCGGCAGCGCAGCAGTGCTGAAGTGGCCACAAATTTCCCAGATTTCAATCCCACAAGAGTAATGGGTCCTGGATTTTGGACACATTCTGTAAATTAGCCCATTTGAGGTACCTTGGTTCAAAAATTGTTGCCCTATGATGCACCAGTTCACCCACTTGAAGGTTACGGACATGAGAGTTTTAGTAGTACAGTGGGGCAAAAAAGTATTTAGTCAGCCTAACTTGCAACAGCACAACTTGCAATTGTGCAAGTTCTCCCACTTAAAAAGATGAGAGAGGCCTGTAATTTTCATCATAGG